ACGACTCTTTCTCGCAACATCGAAAGAAAGAAAGGGGGTCGAGACTTGCAACACCAGACTCTTCTTGGCATGAGACCGGTGTTCTTTTGGACCATCTCCACACCGAGCATTTTCGAATCACTTATATAAAGCTCGAGATCTCCTGCAAAAGAGAACCAGAAAAAGACCGAGACGGACGACATGGACTCAACAACTTCCAGATTCCAATCTTGTGAATAAAAGCAGAATGAAATCGGTCTCCTTCCTTCGAGTCTTGCAGTCGAGAAATCCGCCGGATTGCGTCGAAGTGGCTTTGAGACACGCCAGGTACTACCAAGATGATCCTGGAGGCGCCGAGTGAGTGTTGAAATGTGTGGGTGGAGAGACACGCTACTCTGGTGGTACAAAGTAGACCTCCAGAAGCGAGAAGTTCACTTAGATGTGCCAGAGCAAGCTTGCGCAAGGCTGAAGTCTAGGACCTCAGGTACCTTTACTTCTGTGCGATATCAACAGATTGAAACGCCGTTCATTAGGAACAATGTTTGCTACTAGGGGCTCCTGGCATCGCTACTAGGAGCAAGGACGCTACGAACGGGGCTCCTGGCCTTACTACTAGGAGCAAGAAGCTATTAGTAACAATAAAACGCCATTTGAGAATGAGGAAGCACCGGCGAAGAACGGCCATTTTTCTTTTTCACCGCAGACGCATACGCACAGGTGGGCGTGCACAGCCCCTGCAGGAGCGAGACGTGGGCGTTCACGCGCGAGACCGGATGGCTGACCGGGGGCCGGACAGAGCTCAGGTTCTTACTTTTGGATTAGTGGAACTCTTTTGCAAGGATTGCAGATCCCCTTGAGTTGTTCACCCTGTCCTTTCACAAAACCTGATCCATTGACCATGACCCTTTCAGAGGTGAAACTCACCTTCAGCTTCAGACCCCTCCCTTACAACTAGCGATGGCCTCCAACCCAAGAGCGATGGCCTGCTTCACCTTCTCTTCGCCCACGTACACCAAAGCGTCCAGGACGTCAAGGCCCACGAGTCCATCATGGGCCGCTCGGTAGAACGTGGCGCATCGGAGGGAAAAAGGGAACTCCACTTGAAGCAACACCACATGAGGTGACAGTGACATGGACGCTGAGAAAAAAGTTAAGGTGGTGTAGGATTGGAAAATACAAGGACGCTGCTGTTCTGCTCGCTACAGCCACTGTTCTGGACTTTTTGAGGTCAAGGACATCTTGAATTTGACAACATAATTCAATAAACCTAGAAGCAATGGCCTCCAACCTAGTAGCGATGGCCAACCTTGAATTGAGTATTTTCAAGCAGGAGACTCTTTCAGAAGAAACGAAAGACCACAAGAGACTCTGATCTTTCGACCGTTCTGGGCTCTTTCGCCCGTTTGGGGTCGCGCAGTGTCTCTCGCTCATCAGCCTCAGCAGTTCCTCGGGCCTGAAAAGAGCTGAGGTGTCAACTCCTGGTCCTTACAGAAGGGGCAGGCCCGCAAGCGGGAAGTGACCGGGAAGGGGACCGGGAATCTGGAGATACAACACGAATCGCTGGGTTCAAAGCCCCGTGATTTGCACAGATAAACCTTAAGATTTGCACAAAGAAATGGGTCCCAAGTTCCAACAGGTCCAACGGTCCAACGGTAAACTTGGCTCTCTGTAGCTCAGTTCGGCCCTGAAAGGCTGCCGTGCAACGGATCAAGGCGATTCAAGGTATGTTGTCAGAAAAGCTGTGCAGTTCATTGCCCCTTTGCCGTTACTTTTGATTTTGTTTGTTATAAACGTTAAAGATGCTTCGTTCTGCTCCAGGCGTCTTTTTCCGGACGTTCCACTCCCCCAGAAGCCTTTGGACAGGCCTCCAACCCCTTCAAATGCAGGTGTCCCAAAGAGGTGGGGTCGTTTTAAGGACATTCACTCCCAATAGGTGAGCAAGGATAGCCCCGGCACAGGGGGCGACGGACCACATGGTTAGAGCCTCCCGTATTCCAAACATCCAATTCCTTTTCTTCCTCGCACGCATGTAGATAGGTGTCATTGGTGTCATTGTTTGTCATTGGAGTTTCCTGCTCCTACCCATCGAAACTGCTGTTCAATACCTCTTTGTTGGTTTCAAGCAATGGACCAGCATAGCTGGAAATGACATCGAACATTTGTCGCGAAATGAACAGAAGCCGTCGGAAAGCATATATGAAAGCCCAATCAAGTTGAGAGTCCATCTATCATTGAGACCAAACACACTGTTTGGGCTAAAGTCGCACCCAAAGCCGACCGTGAAGACTTGCAACGGATGCTGGAGGATGCCTTGGGTGAATGCCTTCCGGGCGGCATCGAGGAGGAAGTCCTGGCCGAGGCCTGCGGACGCTTGCGGACGCCTGCGGCCCCAATCACGTCCAAGCGGTTTCGACAAAGTGATGGTTGAGTCAATTGTCAATTGTGTTGCGAGTGGTTGGAAGAAGTATCCTTGTCAGGAGAATCGGAACATGAATGAAGAGGGAATCACGTCCACCTTCTTTTTGTTTGACAAAAGGTAGATATACTGAAGTAATTATGCCAGCATTGACATTTAGAAAAAGAGTCATAACAACAGACGCACGTCATTTTGTGTTTGGACCACAATCTAGTCGATCTATCCGCTCCACACTGCACAGACAAAGCGTAGCCTGATGGCTTCTTGCAGGTTGTCCAGCCGGTGTATCGAAATAATCACCAGCTGTTTGACGATGACGAGGAGATGTTGATGAAGGACGCCATCAAGGATGTATGTCTTCGGTTTTCTTCGACTCCCAGCGACAAACCGGCCAAACCAGAAGCTAGTTATTCCATTCAGTTTCCCATCACACACCTCGATTAGAACAGCCCTGGATGCGTCCTCTTTCGTTTTCTCCGATTTCTCGGTTTGGGCTCGCCATAAAGAACAATCCAACAAATCGAGATTTCTTGACCCTAAGTCCTAAGTTGTTCGAGTCAAGTCACAGACCACCCTCTGACCACTCCGATTGTAGGTTTCGCCGCTCCGATTCATCTGGCATTTGGATGTTTGGAGCACGGCTCAGAGCTCGAACGGGCTGCGTTCACCGTGTTCAGGAGATCCTCGACTTTGCCGATGCTTGAGCAGTTTCACAGCCAATGGTCGAATTCTTCCGGAGGGGGACCGAGCTGTTTGGGACGGAGAAGCTTCATTGGAAGCACCGTATCTTTTGGTCTAGTCTTTAAAGCTTCATTGGGTGTGCGACCCTTTGGCTTTTGGAGGAACAACGGTCGTCCTTCCAACTCGGGCGCCTGGCCACATTGCTGTGGGATGCGGTGATCAATATGGGGAGAATCAATGAGAATCAGGTGCTTGTTCGGAAAGGCATGGCAAAGAGAATTCCCCCTTGTCTTAGGTCCTGCTTAGGTCTTCACATGCCCTGCCATCGAATTCAGCCAACCAAAGGCAGCTGATCCACTCAGACTTGGCAAGAACGCGCCTCGTGACGTGGCCCACGAAGTCCGCTTCGGCCGTCGAGACGGTCTCGGTCCGTCCCTCCGAGTGACCGGCGACTTGAAGGGTCGTCGTGTGGCGAAAAGGCAAGAGAAGGGCGAAGCTCCGAGCGCCGGCCGCTTTTGGAGGCTCCGAGCGCCAGAAAGAACGAACTCTTCCTGCCCTCCCAAGGCAAAGGCCACAAGCGAGCATAGGGGTTGTTTGTGGTTGTGGGCCATAGGAGTTCCAAAGGGTTGTCCGAGCCATGAAGACGTTCCAAAGACTTTCTTGAGAGATTTGATGAGATGGTCTGACTGAAAGGTAGAGGCACTCCCACATGAACCATGGTTCTTCTTGCATGTCCAGAGGGGCTCGGAGCGATTGCGCGCTTTCCTCTCACCCTGCAAGCAGTGCAAGCAGTCGGAGCTGGACAGAGGACATGGACAGGTCCCACGTCGCATGGCATCAAGCGATGGCATCAAGTGTTGAATTATGATGAATCATGTTGAATCTTGTCCACAAGCAAATGCAGAACTCAAAACACTTGAAGCTGGTTTCCATCGGCTTTCACCAAAAGTGGTTGTGGAGTCTTTTCGGAGGTCAAGACTCAGAAGTTTGCTCTGTTCGATTACAAAAGTCAACATCTTGGATTTGGAGAGCTTCCCACAAAATACACAGTTGGGGAGAGACAATAGGGAAGAGTGTTAAAATGTTAAAACAATCAAAAGCAAAGCAAAAGCAACGCTTTCGGATCTTTTTACACCAATCAACGCCCGTCATTGATAGGCCAAAGGGATTTCTCCTTGTCTTACAGACCAGAGGTTTTTCCTCAAACAGTTGGGGATTCCCCCTGTTTCCAGCACTCGTTGTTGTTTTTTAAAGAGGACAACAGACCTGCTTGTCACACCAACACCTTCGTCCGAGTTCTTTAGATCGGCCTCGTCCAGATCTCCGAGTTTCACCCGATCAGCCATCCAAAAAAAGGGTCGAACGCATCGTGAGACGCTGAGTCGCGCTGAGTCGGTTTCTAGGTGACTCAGCGTTTCAGCTTGGGCTTCCTTCTTGAACGTCATTTCTGGAAGCGGTCACAAACGGACCTGGATCTCCCCCTACTGGCACCTTCTAGAGGAGAAACCATTCATTTGGCACCAAAAGGACATCTTCTTGGATCTCCGAAGCTTCCAAGATGGCCAGAAATCTGAGCCTTGATGGCACAAGCTGCGCCACGGAGCGGCCGTGTCTCGCCTCTCGGCGAGCCACAGGCGAACAGGATCGAAGATTGAAGCATAGCACAGCCGCTACCGCTACCAGCGGATTGAGCGAAAGTACCCGTGCACTGGCATTCAACAGACCCCCGTCCTTAGTGGTTGGTGCCCCTTCCCACCTTCCCACGCCCTTCTCGCATCTCATTCACACAGCATTTGCAAAGCACGGAGACTTTCAAGTTTGCGGCACGGTCCGCTAGTTTGGCATGGCTGAAACCGACTCGACTCACCAAAGTGTGACCCACGTGCCTACCGCAACACCATCGTCCAGTCGGTCCAAAACCCCCCAGTCGCCGGACGACACGGGGTGACAAGACCACACGGCGGCTGTCCCACGCGGCTATTGCGCCATGCAATGCTGCACTTGGACCGACTCGAGGTGCGGGATCAGGGCTGCTGGTGAGGGGCGACCCTGATGGGTTTTGGTCGTTTTGCTGAGTGGCGGTTTCGGATGGGAGGGAGTGGATCAACATCTGGAATTGGTGGATGAATTTCCTGAGTTGCTTTCTCCTACTTCTGAGTTGACCTTCGATTGGGTCAACAAAGCGTTCCTTGAAAATCTGAGAGTGTTTGAAGTTCTTTCAGTCTTTCAGGAAATTCTAGGTATGTTGTGCTGGCTTTCTTGCTAAACAGCGAACATGCAACCTGCTGCTGGAGCCTGCTGGAACCAGGCGTGGCATTTGCTGCAGCAGCAGCTGGAGGAGTCAGCGGAGACCATCCTCCCTGAGGCCGGAAAATCCAGGCCAAACAGCTGGCTGGGTGTTCCTCTCCAAAGGAGGCCTTAAAGGAAACAAACACATGCAAGCTTCAGTTTCATGGAATAAGATGGAAGGGGCCAGAGCTCCCACTTGTCCTGGCATTTGCTGTCCTATGCGCCGATTATATCGGTATATACATATAGGGGGCTGAAAGGTCGAACTCGACCTTTGCCTTTCCCTTGCAGGAATTACATGCACCAGCCTTTTTTTTCCCCTTCTTCTTCAATTCCTGGGACTTTCAGCCTTTAGACAGTCTTTTCGTTCTTCTTTTGATCTCTTCCTTCCTCCCTTACTCCCTTCCTCCCTTCCTCACTTCCTCACTTCCTCCCTTCCTTTCTTCCTTTCTTCCTTTCTTCCTTCCCTTACTTGCTTTCTAATGACGACACGTGACCATGGGGAATTTTCTGGCTGGCAGGAGGTGCAATCGCCGCAATCACCCAGCTCGCCGTCTCACGCTCTCAATGTCGAGAGCAGCCCAGGCATGAAACGGTCAAACGTGGTTGAGTGGTCAGTTGGGCAGAGAGGCTTCAAACTTGAGCTTTTCGTTGGACCAAAGGTGCTTGGTTCAACCTAAATCGACCTTGCCTGCAATGACCATTGAGATCGCTAAGCCAACTCCCAAATTTGTTTCGCCTGGATGCCTTCAGCTTCGTTGGAGGCCCTCTGTCAAGGAGCTTTCGTCCGGCGACGACGTTTCCGTCCATGTGCGGTCGGGGTGTTTCATCTCCAGGTGAGGAGAGCGTTCGATCTCCGAGAGATGAGGCGTGGGCCGGGTGGGCCGAGAGATGAGGAGACTCTCAGGGTGGTTTTAGGAGCAAAAGGAGTCGATTTGGCTAGAGGAGAGCATCTCAAAAGGATAGAGAGTCGATTTGGCTTTGGATCATCATTGCGAGCTAAGGGCTTTTTGAATGGCTTTGATGTGGTAGTTGATGAAAAAAAAAATTGCTCTCCTCAACTCTCACCACAAGCTGGCATGGCATTCCGGAAGAGGAGCACTATTGCAACGATGTTCAACATGTTCCATGTTCAAACCTACTCAAAGCTCTTCACACCAAGATAGGGTTCCTTCTCTTTCAAACCGAAGAAGTGGCTCTGGCCGACCGCCGCGCCGGACCAGCGCCCCACCAGGCGTCGCCGGTGACCGAGTCCTCGGGCCGCTGGTCGGCGTCGCCTTCTTCTGCGCTGCGGCGAGAGCCGCTGGTTTGCACCGCAGGTCGAGGAGAAAAGGAGAAACCCCCACTGTTGCGGAGGATTAGACAATCCCACAAGAGTAAGTTTCTTTTTTGGGCGGAACAAGAAAGGACATAAGGCAAAGATGTTTCTTCTCCTATGTTCTGTTGTTCCTTTCTCTGGAATGGCAGAAGGTGCAAGTGCACGTCATCCTCGACTTGAACACCACCTCGGGGTGGAACTGACTCTGTCCGAGCGGGCTTTTCGGACTCGGCCTGGGGTTTCGAAGATCAACCCTTCTGGTCCGCGCGGACATGCTGACACCTGTTGGGGAGGGGTTGGGATGATTGGTTGCGGGTAAACTTCCAACATCATGTGATGAGATGTGAGGTGTCTGAAAAACCGCGTGTCTTGCACTGTGAGCAGTGGACTATGTGCGTGGGGTTGTCCATGCAAGGCACCAAACTCCATGCATCAAAACGGCCCTCCCCCCGAACCTGTTGTGCTTGGAGAACAGCACATCTTCCCCCCTCCCGCGCTGGGCCTGAACATTTGGACCGGTGGGGCAGATACATCTGATGATCACAGAACTCTAGTGGAGTGAAAAAAAACAATGTCAAGAACTTTCTCGCCTCTTTTCCCTACATTGGAAGCACCTCATCCTTTTCGGACCTGCCTCATGCTGCGGCTTGGCTTCCTTCACGGCCGCTCCAAGGCTGGCAGAGGCCGTGGCGCGGAGGGCAGAGAGCAAGGCAGCCTGGAGCCGCAGCGTGCGCCACGCCAGCACGGCCGAAGCCCGCGAGGCCGACAGAGGGATCGGTAGACGGAAGCAGTCCAAGTTTTAGATATTTGGTGGGTTTCCTGGCATGATTGGCTTTTAGGGCCATGAAGTTGATTTTGGTAGGACTTCCCAGAGCTCACTCCTAGTTTGTGCGCATCAAAGCCCTCAGCGCCAGGAGCGATGGGTAAAGAAGATCACCTCTGAGCTGGAGGAGACAGGCTGGGTGAGTGGCTGCCGGCCAGGGTGTGAGGGCAAGTCACCAAATGAGTCAAATGAGAAGCTGCATGAGGAAGTGAATTTCACAAGTTGTCCGGCGTTTCCAGCAGTGAAGCTAAGGGTGTTTGAGTTGTTGATTTGAATTGCCGTTCTGCTTCATTTTGGAGATCAGACCGAAAGGTGTGGGGTTTCCTCCTCTGGCAGTGGTAAAGTAGATGCAGAACCTTGTCTCCAGGACGCACTCATGATCTTTCAACCCGCAGTGAATTCCCCCTCAGCCGCTTGTAATTAGGCGCTCGAGCTCAACAGATGAAGAAGAAGTTCGCCCAGGACTGAACGGTGAGCATATTCATACTTATGGTACTTGCAGTAGCTTACCTATGGCTTGTGATGTGTGCGTATTGCATTTGCATCTCCAGCATTACATACTTTTCTAAAACCAGGGTCTATCCCAACACAAGTCACTTGGTTTGTCGCAGCCAGAAGGCATTTCACTAAGGTCCTGCCATGAGCCAACCTGGTGATACCCAGCAGCCCAGCTTTTCGAGCACTGTTCAGACTGAGCAAAAACGAGCTGCTGTTGGGGGTCTCCCCATTCAAAAAAACGCTGGTCTTGGACCCAGGAGCGGGACCGACTGCGCCAGCGGGTGCGCAACCTGCGGATGCAGCGCCTCGGTCGGATGAAGTGGCAAAGAGACCGTCAAAACGGATTGTTTTATGGGAAAATCTACAGGAAACTCATAGTTTTGGTGGTGAAAACCCGGGGGTTTCCTAGATACTTCCCAAACAAAACCAATTCTGGGATTGTGAAAAGGGATTCTCCATGTGGGTCTCCCAACTTGCCCATGTGGACCTTTCGGACCATGACATACGCCCGATGCGAACGAGCGAAGCAAAGCCGAAGCGGAAGCGGAAGCGGAAGCCACGCCAAAAGGGTCACGTCCGGCCAAAGGGTCGCGCCACTTGCGACCGACACACGACGATCTCGTGACATTGGCAAAGTAAATTTGGCACATCCACCCCAGATTGGGGGAACAGCATCAAGCGGCTGGTTGGCATTGTATACCAAGCCAAGTTTTCGGCAAAAGTGCTTGCACTTTTCATCTGGCCAAGAAACTTCCGGTTCCGCAAAGAAAATGGAATCAGGCCAGGCTGATGATGAGGTGGTTTGTATTTCAAATCATGCACATAGGTCAAGAGTGTTTTTGCACATGTTCGTAGTGAGGGATCTCAGGTCGACATTGAAATCCACCTGTGTATGTGCGCTCCCACCCTAGCTGGGTCAAACTGTCAAACTACTTGATGCCATCGTGTGGAATTTGGGAACTATAGGGTCAGCAGAGAACCCTTGTAAGTATTGAACAAGATACGCAAAGCATTTGACTGTTCACGGAGGCTTCTTGGTTGACCTACTTGGAAAGTCAAGCTACATGGTGGACCAGGGCTCCAGATTTTGATCCATCCCCGGGTATGACTTGGTGACTTGATTTCTTTTTTCTAGCTGACCGACGACTTCTTCTAAAGGAAGCTGGAAATCGCCAGCACTGCGGGATTGGAACCTATTGGAACTTCTGGGCTTGCTTCCTAGTAACTAGAAGCTACTAGTAACAAAGGGCATTGCTATTAGGAGCAAGGAAGCTACTAGTAGCTCCTGGCATCGCTACTAGTAACAATAAAGCTTCCTAGTAACTAGAAGCTTTTGAAAATCCATCCGGGCCCTTCTTCAGGCACCGGCAGGCCGAGCGCAAGGCCACACTCGCCGCAAGCTCTGCGTTCGGCGCACTAGAGGCTGGAAACGGTTTTCTGGTCGGCTTGGTGCAAAGGATGGTCGCTGGTCGCTCAATAGTGGACAACAAGGTATGTCACTTCGTTGGAAAAACAAAAGACTCTGGTCGTCCGGGTTGGACTCTTCGGTTCGAGTGAGAGGGAGTTTTGGGGAGTCCATCGCGAAGACGAAGTCTGGGGAGGCAAGTTGCTCCTTTGGAGCCATGTAGGACAAGCAGACGAGCATTGTGAAGCATTGAGTGGAGGCATAAAGGGTTTCACAACAGAATGATTGATCCTTTGTATCATGTGTAAGTGGTTCCCTATAGCCTCTTTGATCATAGGCTACATGCGGATGAACAATGTAACAACGTGAGCTGATAGTGTGTTGCCACCACACAACTTGATCCAACTGCCACTTGTTTGACTCGCGCCGCAAGTAAGGAATCATGCTACGACCTCCAATAACCTCTGGGGGTGTGTCGGAAAATCAGCAGCTCTTAACCTCAACCCCCCTCTTTGATGGAAAAACCGGCTCGAACCCGTGTTTGAACGGTCCATTATTGAAAGCCAACCCCGGACGCTCCCGGGTGACGCCGGGCTGTGGTGACTTCCCAGGCGCCGCGCGAGCGCGTTCCCGAACGGTTTCGCTTGGCGTCGACGGAGGAGGCGGAGCGCTTCGGAGCGAAACACCTCGGTGGAGCGGAGAGCGGGGACACACTGATTTGGGTGTTTTGAATCCAACATCAGCAGGGTGTTGCTGCAGTTGGAAGTCCAGAGGCCACTAGTGAACGAACCAGCTTCCGCTTGGTTTCGATGCGACTTTTGGGAGTGTGTCAGTAGCGAATTGGCCAAGATGTCTTGCAAAACCCCAAGGTGCTGTTGGTGTTTGCCATACAACATGGGGGGCCCTGAATGAGACCTCCTCTCGCAGGTGCATTCCGTGGCGGAGCTACGGCCGAGCGGTGCCACTGCCAGCGTACCTCCGCGAGGTCTGACGGACGGACATGCGAAGTTGGGAGGGCCCATCATGGGGACGTTTCTACAAAAGTGCAGCCCGCAAATCATAGGCATGCAGCACCGCAGCAGAGAGCAGCATCACTTTTCAGATGATTTCCCAATCTTCACTGCAATCCATGAGAGACACGAACAGTTCGTTTGTTCGTCTTTGGAGCCAGAATCGAAGAGTACAGGTGGAGTGCGTGCAGTGCCTGCTGAGCCCAGGCATGGGGGGGTTCTGTCACTTAGTTTGAAGGCAAGTTTTGGGCCCACCAGACCCAAAGATTTGCATATTTTACTATGTGGCACGGGAGCACCGCCCAGAAGACTGCTCGGCAGGCGAAGAGAAGAGCACTTGGAACAGACCATTGCCAGGCAGAGACATCCGTAGAGACCGGTCCAGGCTTAAGACCTGAGACGGCAACGCGAGACGGCAAAGCAACGTCAAAACCTGAGACGCGAGACGTCGGACGTGGGTGTTCACCGGTTGGTGTGCGATTTCCCACACGGATCATCCCGGTAGCGTCCGATCGCTCCTAGCATGAGCTATCTCGGCTTGGCCAGGCTGGCAGACACCCACCAGCAGTTGAAGCAACAGACTGCTGAGCTGCAAAGTTCAGCCCAGCTGTCCCAACGAGCGCCCCGGCGCAGAGCTGGCTCATCCCGGCACAGGCAAGAGGTTCGGAAGGAACGTTCCAAAGCCACGTGAGACGCACATGTGCTGATTAGAGATTCGCAGAACTGTTGGACCCTCCCAAAAGGTCCAGATTCCCTGCACATATACAGTACACGCACACACTTTTTGCTAATGGGTTGCTGCTTGTGCAGTCCTTGCTTCCCAGAATAGGTTTCAGGGAAAATCTACCGGAAACCCATAGTTTTGGCGGTGAAAACAAGGGTTTCCTGTGGATTTTCCCTAACAAACCAATTCATGATTGCTTTTTGCATGGCCATGGGTCAGCTGGTCTCAGCTGGTCTCAGCTGGTCAGATTTCCATCTTGGGCCGGTCTGCCTGGATGTGTCTGGGAGCGCGCAGCTTCGGGAATTCACATTGGCCTGACTGGTGCGACTCGGGAACGAGGGAATGAACCTCCACAGATTCAGATCTGCCTCATTCCTTGCCAAGTAATACATACGGTAGCAAAGAAATCCCGGTCGATTTCTTTCGAGAAAGCCCGGACTCTTTTCCGCGTGCATTTTGTTGGTCCTGGGACTGCAAATCCTATCGCCTCGTCCTCAAAAAATGGCTCAACGAATGTGAAATTCCTTCTTGGACAAAGATCATACTTATAATATATATATATAATATATGTATATATTTACATAAGTACCCAACCACACGTCACAACCACATGTCATATGTCCTCTGAAAGCCACCTGATATTCTTCTTTTTGGCACCTAAGTATCCTAAGCTCCTCCAGTCTTGACCAATTCCCTCTGCGCCCCCCCGCATCACCGGGACCAAGGAAATCGGTCATATGGAGCCGCTGGGTTTGCACGAGAACACCGAAACATCAACGGTCCCAAGTAGGCAGACAAGATGTTGCATACATTCTTAAAAGGGATTTGTCTCAAACATTTAAAACCTATCTTGGATCTCTGAATGAAGATCCAGAGTATTCTTTGAAGGTCAAATAGATGTGATGATCTGAAAAGTCAGTCATGCTACTCTAAGTTGTCAAATGAAGGACAATCCATCTCAACGATGTTTATTGTCAAGCCGATCTCTTGGCTCTGGTTGGCTCCGTGTGGGGCACCACCGAGTCGGGTTCAATTAATATATAGTGGGACGACATGGTGTTCTCCATCTCAGTTGCTGTAAGATTCTTTGGCAAATTACTCAGCCCGCACAGGAGAAAGGACATACATGTAACAAGTTGTGAAGCCCGCTATGCATAAGAAGTCTTTACAGTCACCACATCTGGGTCATTGGCCCCACATCCTTCAAAGAGACCCCCGTCCATAGGCAACCAAGAGAAAAAACAACAACTCCACATGGACAAGTCACCAGTCACAAGCACCGAAAAAACGACGGCACCAGATGATCGTGTCGGTGATTCCTCCTTTGGCACGACTCATCGCACCGAGGAGTGTCTCTGTGCTTCGCACTCAGCTCCAGACCACTAACCACTCGCGGCGCCAAGAGCGGCAACGCCTGCGACAGGCCGAGACTGGCTCTGACTCGGCTCGGCTCGCCACCGATGGCACTGGGCGATGGTGGGAAAAGACATTGTTTGGATTTGTTTGGTTACCTTCACGGCGAGCTCTTTCAAACCATGCCGGGGGCCGAGGGTGTTTGGGGTCTTCGTCCAAGCGATACGCCGCGTTTACGCATACTGAGACTCATGTTGTGATGCAGAGGTTGACCTTGGCTGATGTGAGAAATCAGCCAATGAACCACAGACCGGCAATAGGCAAAAACGGCATTCAAGCATCTATGACAGCCCTCGCTTTTGTGATGTTTTTTTGCGACGTTTCAAGCTATGCTTTATGACATGCTTTATGAGACCAAGAGACTGAACCCTTCGGCCATGGTGCTCGGCAGAGAACCCGCCGCGCCGCGCTCGACGCCTCGGAGAGGTGGAGCTTCAACTGCACCAGGAACAGCACCGTTGTTCGGCCGCCCGTGGCTCTGTCCGTGAGGCGCGTGGTGTGGGAGAACCGGGCCTTCCGCGGTGTGGTTCGGTGTAGTTAAGGCCAATGATGCCGTGAGTTACCCGGTCTGCCTGGTCACCTTTACGACAGCTCAACAGGTAAGATGGCCCAAGAAACAAGGGTACCTTGCTTTAGGTCCCAAGAGAACCAAGGAGAACCTCGGAGAGGTTTGGAACAGGCCTTTTTAAGATGATGGGTGATGGCACTGGGGTGGCTCTCTGCACTACCAGCTGCCAAGCCATGCGTCGGTTCCGCCTGATCCAGGTGTAGGGAACAACTCATAAGGAAGGCGCCCATACACTCACACACCAAAGGAAGGGTCCGAAGGGGGGAATAGCAACGAATAACATGCTGCTTAGAGATTCGTGCGATGCATTAACCGACGTTGTGGATTTTTTGCTGATTCCACCCGCGCTCACGGGCAGATGACGGCAGAGCTACGACATGTGGAGCAGCGGCAAGCTGAGCCTTTGCTGGAGGCGTCGGCGGCTTGGAGTTGATGTGAACATTTCCAGGGACGGCGCTTACGGTTTGGGGTAGCGCAAAGAAAGCAAGAAGGATGACAATTAAATTGCCCCGGCCACGCTGTTCACTTTATTTCATCCAGTCTTCAGATTGACTTCATGTCCTAAGACTCAGCGCCTGGCACTGAATGAATTCTGAACTCAAGGGGATTGAAGTCCGTGATCGACTTAGAGGCCAGAGTTCTGGTCGACTTGGAGGCCAGAGTTCTGGTGCTCACGTCAGATCTGCCTGAACGATTGGGATCTCCCGGACGACTTCGCCACGGTGAGATGCAGTCGTTGGATGGTCGTTGGACGGTCGACTGGGGACCGCAATAAACGCGAAGGGTGGGTTCGCTTTGCAGAACTGGCCATCTCAAACCGGGATGGCCAGGCTGGCCATTTCCAGTTCTCCATCGAGTTTGTCGCAACAAACATGAGTTCCAGTTCTTCATCGAATTTTCGCACTCGAAGGCGCAAACACGACCATCACCGCATCGCCCCCACTTGTTCTTTGACCCGTGCGCTGCTTCCAAACTCCCCGTGCACCGGTCTGGGCCACGCGGTCCCGGCTTCTCGGAGGCGCCGGTTCTCTGCGAATGGTTGGAAGCAGAGATTGGGCTGCGCCAGGTGCGGGGTGGTCGGTGGCCTTGGGGGGGTCGGGTCGTGAAGACTAGAATTGGTGTTAAAGGACACCAACTCAGCTATACTCATCGTGTTTTTTGGGTCCATCTATTGAGTGCTCATGTAACTCGTGTTCCTGGCAAAGAACAACCACTTTCCAGATGTCCTCAGAATATGGTCAAAGCTCAAATACCTCAAACCAGCCTTATGTGGATATGCCAGCAGACTTTTCTTCACTTGTTGCAGTCATGTAGGAAGTCGGGAGGTCAGCCGACCTATGTTTTTCCATGGCCTTGGCCCAAACCCACGAATCCCGTCGAATCGCCCTCGGCAGGTGGATCTGGTGAAAACGCGTCTCAGTACTCTTCAGCGCAGCCAGCACTCTCGCGAGGAGGCGGGCGACGCTGGGCGACGCTGGGCGACCCGTGGGCACAGATGAAGACCATGGGACGAAGGGGAGGAGTTCGAATCATTTGGCATGTTTTTTTGCAGTTCTGGGGGCTCCAGGCATGGTGGAAGGCCGGCTTCTCAAATCCTTGTAAAGCACCAGAGATGTTCTACAAATCATCCAAAAAGTTCCCAGTCCAAGAAGGTACAATCATCAGGCCATCAGGTCAGCCGTGTCAGCTGCATGACCCGTGATGTGCCAACAAAACACATCCAAACTACCGAAAACACCGTCAACATGCGCGCACGCACGCACGCGAGCACGCGGCGAGAACACGAGCGTGATGGCAGGTCTTAGACACGGCCATCACCGAGATCCATGCGGATTTGGACCACCGTGCTGAGGTGATCCTCCACTTGGCCCAACGTGCCCGCGAGGCGAGGCGGTTCGACGGAGAGAAGTTGTGGTTTTTCTTTTCGGAGTGAAGACTGGGAACGAAAGAGAGCGGAACTGTTCTTCATGTCTGGAAAGAGACTGCTTCATTTTCCAGTCTTGGAGAGTCGGTTTTTTGTTCCTTTTTCCATTTCACGACGGGTCGGCTCTAGTGCGGCGTCACCCTTGACCGGCGCGGTCCGAAGTCCTTCAGTGCACCTGGCGACCCGCGGCCTTCCGCCGCGGTCGCCATGGCCTCACCCGTTTTCCAAGCTCTTGTGGCTCTCGTGGGGCTGGCGACCTCGGGAGACGTTCCCTCCCGAGCTCAGTGCGATGCGGACGACCTCGCGTCGTACCTCCAAAAGGGACGGCAGGGTCAGGGCGGTCAGGCCGTTTTGAATTTCATGGCCGACAGTGGTGACCCACTACCGCCACAGTTGCAATGCGACAATTCCAGCTTGAGTGACTTTGTCTTTCCGTTCCTGAATAGCCAGTGTGCCACAGGGGAGATTTGTACCATAGACGAATTGTCGGACAGAGGGGAGGATGCCACTTGCTGGTTTTCAGAGGTTGGGGGGAATGTGAACTACTGCGACAACCCGGATGAACCTGTGCCCAATCAAGTGACTGCGCAGGTGGAAGGCATCCCAGATGGAACCTACACCATTTGTGTCACTCCACCACCAGGCATTTGCCCAACCTGGGTGTGCATTTCTGGCGGTGTACTTGGTCGAGTGTGCCTTGACCAAACAGGCTTGAATTGCACCACCGACCCCTTCAATAGCAACGACCCAGACGATCGCTTCTGCGAACCGTGGATTCAAGGGGAGCCCTTTTGCATCGTGAGCCAGAGTATCGGTCCAGGTGGGAACTTGCAGTCCATCAGCAACTTCGCCATCAACTGGGTTTGTTGTCCGACCACCACCTCGACTTCGGGGACCACCTCGACTTCGGGGACCACCACAAGTACGGCGCCCGACATCACCACCACTCCCGGCTCGACCCAGAAGCCCTACAGCTACAGGAAGAACCGACGCCAGCATCGCCGTGAGTATCGTCAGCATCGGCGCCAGAAGTATAGGTACCAGTACAGTGACTCTAAGTAGTCTTTAGGTCTCACAGTAATCGAATCACTTTCTGAAAGAGGAGGTGTCATGCGGATGCCAAGTATTTTGGCTTGTAACTTTTGAGCATCAGCGCGTCAGCCGCCGCTACCAACATGTGCTGTCTGCAGATGCAGACGTCTTTTCAAGCTACCCGGCGGGGACGCCTTGTGGATCGCGAAAAAGTCACAGTGGCACTCGGTGGTGATGGCGCCCTACCAAACTGCCGCAGTGAAGAGATTCCGTTGAAGGACTTTTTACCCTTTCGGTTCCCCCTTTTTTTTGCATGTATGCCATTCCAGTTGGAAGTAGACCATTCGGGGAAGAAAGAATATGGAAGAAAGAATATGTACCAGCAGTCACAAAGGGGTGCTTAATGGAGGTTAGGGGTGCCCATTATCCACTCACTTGGGGACCAAACACCACCCCTTTGTGACTCCACGACTTCCGTGCCGCCTCCGCTGCAAGCACTTCCCCCGGCTGCCTCTTCCAGGCGCCGCCCTCGAGCGCGGCGGAACGCCTCGAAGTGGATGCCGTACAGGTCCGACGACCCCAGGACGACCGGGGACGACCAGGACGACGCACCCGGGCCGACCCAAACGGGGTTTTACGGTTTTAGGTCGGTGTTTTGGAGCTGACTTAGGAGGTCTTACGGATGGAATTTCTGAGGAGGGGGTCATTTGGAATCTGCTCAGGTGTTTTTCTGTGGAAGGTCTGGCGTGTTTGGGTGGTGCAGACTGGCGCACTTCTGGATTTGGCCCACACCGGCCTCCTTTTGTGGTCGCTCTTCTGATACTTTGCGATCGCAAACTGCTTGCTCAAAATGAATGAAATAAACAATTTGGTTTGCATCAGCTAGTTGATGCTATAATAGATTGAGGTTGCTTCCAAGTCAATCTCTGTATCGTTCCATCAGCTTTCAGATTTGGTCACAACCCCCCGCTGTCCAACCTCCGCATGTCTTTCGGTCCTTTCATCTCCTCTCTCGATGCTCCCAGCGTTTTCGCGGTTCCAAGGCTGAGCTCCTACACCAGCGGGAGATCTTTGACCTGCGCTGCCGCCAGGCGCAAGATGAGCAGTCAGCTCAGCTCAGTGCTCGTGGTGGTTTCACCCTCGTTCAGGTTGATCTCCCGATGGGGTTGCGAGGATGGAGGTCTTCGGCACTTTGTGACACGACCCACCAACCACTATACAGATCATACTGTTGATGGACAAAATCCTGCACCACTTTGCGCACACTTTTCTTGCTGCCCTCGTTCTCCCTCGTTAACATTGGGGCCACCACAGAGAGAAAACAAAAACAAGTTGAAGGTCCAAAATCCTGCACCACCTCCTCAGAGGGGTCGCGCCAACATTGAATGAGGGGGCACGGGTTGCTATGCGACCCTTCCAGGGGAAAGTGGTGAGGTGGTGCAGGATTTTGTCCATCAACAGTATGAGACCGAAAAAGAGCAAGTGAAGCCTGGTTTCATGAAAAGCGTGCGCGACTCGAACGTCTCCGGGTCCCGGTTTGGCCCGGTGGAGGCTGAGGCGCTGAAGGGTCGAAAGGATGAGACCACGACTGCGACGGGCCTGAAGGTGTGGCGGAGGGGAGGAGGTCACAGAGGGCGGCAGAGGACGTTTCATATCAGGAAGTGAGGCGTCTGCGTAAGGTTGGTGATGCAGAAGATGCGTTGGAAGCAGTTTTTCATGACCAAGATCATGGAAGCATACCAAGACCAACACACCCACACTAAAGCTTACCAAAAAACACCAAAGCTTAGGCGACTGCGACGTGCGCCTGGCCAAATGGTCCATATCTCCTAAGGTCAATCTGTTTGAGCTTTAAGGCACACCTATACTCTGGTTGCTGTCAACCGCTGGGACGGAAAGGTGTGGGCAACACCTTGGTAAAGCAGCGCAGTCCCATCTATTCTTCAAGCCCAAAGGTGCGCAGGTCCACGCCGGCGAATGTTGCGGAGTCACCTTATGGCGTCTATCTAGCAAAACGACTTCTGTCATGGAAAGGCCAGGGTTGTCACATCATTTCTGCGGCAAAAAGGTGAAGAGAAAAGATGACGGCTCAAGCACCATCCAAGTCTCCCTGTTCTGCGACTCTCTGGGCCGGCCCTCCCGCCCGCGTGAGGTGTGGCTTGCCTGGGCACAGCCCTACTACACACAAGAGTGGGAGGCGGGGTGTCTTTGGCATCTAGATACCTCGGAGGAGTGAACTTTCATGCACAGGTTTTCACCCCGACATACGCAGGTCGACCTTTAGGCACAAAGTGAGTGCTACCGTGTTTGGTAGCGGAGCCTCCTTCAGTGGAGGCTCCACCCCTCGGATCGGTCGTACCGCGCCATCCAGGGTCTTTTTTTTGCATTTTTGCATCCTGCGCCTCCGCACATGGTGGCGGCCTCCCTTTCGACCTGCGCTTTTCTTTTTGTGTCCCTCCTGGGTGCCAACAACCACCTCTTCGAGCTCTACAAAGCGATCCCGGACATCGCAAAGGAGCTCGCCGCCATGTCACAGGCGGCACCGCCTCCAGGCGGACTCCCACTTGGCGAGTTCCGCAAGGACACTCCTCCTGGATGGAGTCCTGGTGATCCCACATACAGTCTGAAGCTGTACATGGAGCGAATACGTATGTGGTACCGGACCTTCGAAGGACCGGACGAGATGGTTGGTCCGCTCATCGCGGGCCGCTTGCAGGGCAGAGCACAGACGATCGCTCACTCCCTTCGACTTCCTGATCCACTAGGCAACGTGGACGTTGGAGACGCTGCATTGGTCAGGTTAGCAGTCGAGGAAGTTCGTGACCCCATGAACCAGGCGATCATCCTGCAGCACTCCATTCCGTCTGGAGTCCAAGCGCTGATGAATGCGCTGAAGGAGGCCTTTGGTGACGCCGAGCAGGTTCAGGCGACGAGATCTTTGGAGACCTTCTTCGACATGCGACGAGGACGACTTTCACTTCAAGAATTCGCTGTCGAATGGAACCTCAAGCTTGAGGAGGCGATCACACACGCCGGGCTCCAGATCAACAATGTCGCCAAGACCTTCCTCTTCTTCAGGGCATCTCAATTGCCTCAGAAGCACGTGGAAGACATCCTGCTCCAGATCCATGGCGATATGCGGCGCTTCGACGACGCCAAGAATCTGGCCTTACGACTCGCCTCACGACAACAAGACCAAGGCCAGAGCTACTATGAGGCTCCGTCGGGATCTAAGATCTACAGCATTGAAGAGGACTACGCCCAGGACTGGACCGTGCATGACTCCGAGAGTCACCAAGATCCATGGTCGTCAACCAATGAAAACTACTGGCAAGAATATCCACCAGACGACCCATGGCAAGATTGGTGGCCTGAGCTCTACTACGGCGATGACGAGAGCTTTGAGGATGTCTATGACTGGACTGGCTATGACTGGGCAGAGGACTACTGGCAGGACAATGACACCAGCCACGAATGTTCTGAAGAATCAAACCTCAATGATCCTGCATCCCCATCCGTGACCGAGGACTACTACAAAGGCAAAGGAAAAGGCTCTTTGGGCCTGGGATGCACTGTCTGTGGATCACAGTGGCGCAATGCCTCCTCATGCCCTATGCAGAAAGGCAGTTCAGGACATCGAGATGGTCGTGGATGGCAGAAAGGAAAAAAGGCAAGGGCAAGTTCAAAGGCAAGCGAAGCAGCTTCAAGGGCAAAGGCAAGAAAGGCTTCAGAAGCAAAGGCAAAGGCTTTGCTCCTTGGTCTCGTGACTTCAACAAGGGCAAAGGCAAGAACTACATGACCTCCACCGCCTTCACCCATGAAGCCGACAACAGCCCTACGAGGAGCATCAGAGAAGCCAGACAATTGCACCATGCAAGGTTTGGCATTGATCTCAATGGCCCTTCTGCGGCGGCCTCATCAACGCCCGATGAGAACTCTGCCGTCCTGAACTTTGACATCAGTCGAGAAGAAGACTTTCTGCGACGCCATCGTGAACAAGCAGCTGAGCAGAGCAGTGAATCCACCGAGACAGCGCCTTCGTCCAAGAAGGTCTTGAACTTCCCGGTCATGATTCATCATGAGGCCGTGGATGATGTGACCCTCAGCTCGTACCACACAGTGGCTGGCCGTCAGCGAAGAGGTCTACTGGTAGATCCTGGTGCAGCTGCTGGATTGATTGGAAGCGAGACGCTCAGAGATCTGGTGGATAGCTGCTTGAAGCCCTCCGGCTTGGACAAGTTCATCACCTGGAAGGAACGAAGCACTTCCGTGACAGGAATCTCTGGCAAAGGAGATTCAACCCTGGCTGAGGTGACCTTTGAGTTCGGCCTGGACGAACATCATCGTGCTTCTTTCTCAGCCGATGTCATTGGAGGAGAAGGCTCATTGTGTCCGGCCTTGATCGGGAACCCGAGCCTCAGAGCGATGAAAGCAGTGCTGCTCACACAGTTCTTCCAGAACAATGATGGACTGCTTGTTTGCCACACAGACAACTCCTCAAGTCAGCCCACTATGATTCGGCTGCTCCTTACTGACTCAGGACACTACATCATCCCGCTCGATGGTACACAGCATGTGAGAAAGGAGGATCAGAAGAAAGCAGTGCACTTCCTTGGACAAGTCCAACAGCAAGCGCAAGAGAGATGGAGTGACTGTGCTGGCCATCTCCGCTACTGCTTCCAGACAGCAGTTTCTTCGACACCCTCCGACGCAGAGCTTGAGCGGAGTGAGGAGAAGACAACACCTCATGCTCTACAACCTCGCACACAGGAGCCACGACATGATGAACTTTATGCTCCACAACCAGATGATCTACCTCCACCTGCAGCAGTGCTGATGCCATCACCAAAGCATCATCATCGTGATCACTGGCAGAAACATGATGGACACTGGGTCCGACATCATGTTCGAAGCCGTCAAGCCTTCTTTTCGCCGCAGACAAGCAAGTTTCCAGACAAGCTCTCATCTCTGGAAATCACTCGCACCTCACACATCCTCTACGATGACGGCTCCACGGAAGAGATCTGCGACACATGGATCAATGATGACGCTGCCCAAAAGATGCTGCTGAAGAAATGGACAGGAATGACTGTCTTCGAGATCAAGGAGGACTACTCGCAGAAGGTTGAGACTCCAAAGAAGCAGGCAGTAAATGATGAGCACATCGAGGTCAGCATCGCCGACGCTGAGGACCACATCTTCTATGAAGAAGAGCTTCAGCACTATGAGGATGACCACTTTCCCGAGCACATCTCAGACCACAAAAGGACCTACCTCAAGAAGTTCTACAAGGCTGTGCCCGAAGAGTTCTATAGCCATTTGAAGCGAGCACCAGTCACGCCACAAACTGTCTCTCCTGGCTTGAGCGAGCTAAGCACAGCAAGAGGAAGTTCCACATGTGGGAAGTGTGCTCTGGATCGGCAAGGCTATCTCTTCTGGCTTTGCTCTCTGGCCTGACAGTCTGCTTCCCAGTGGACATGCGCTATGGCTGGGACATTGTCTATGGACCACATCAGACACTACTTCGACGTGTTCATGCAGAACTGGAACCAGAGTGCCTGATGGGCTCACCAAACTGCAGGCCCTGGTCTGTGTCTTCGAACAGCCGAGATCCTGAGGACACAGCTCGAGAAAGAGAAGAAGAGAAACCAGCACTCGATGAGCTGCAGAAGATGTGCAAGAAGCAACATCAACAACACAAGATGTTCATGCTTGAACAGCCCTGGTCATCAGCACTATGGAACCATCTTGATCTTCCTGGAGAACGACAACGGACAGATCAATGCCAGTTTGGCGCCATGAATGAAGATGGCTCTCCAGTGCTGAAGCCAACAGGATTTCAGTCGAATCGCACTCTACAACGATGCCTGCTACGATGTGGAGGACACGGCAAACCTCACGGCTGGCTCCAAGGGCAAGTCAATGGCAAGAACAGAACGACACTTGCCTCGGTGTATCCACGGAAGCTATGTCATGCCATCATCAAGGACATCAAGAAAGCCGTGAACTTTGTGAGCCAGGTGTACTGGGAGTGTGAAGGTTGCAGTCTTGGACATTTTGCACCACGACACATGGAGCACACTTTCATGCCTGGTGAATGCCGATATGGCAAGTATCCTGATGAGGATCCTCGTTCAAGGAAGGCCAAGACCGCAGCCAAAGAAGAGAGCCTCATGGATGCCTTCCGCCGTGAAGCCATGACAAACAGCAAGATAGCCAAGAGCACCTTGGCAACTGGTGCGGACTTTGGTTTCAACAGCGAGCAAGCGACTCTTCTCAAGTACGCCCTCTATAAGATCCTCTCAGAAAGCATGGCAGCATTTGATGTGAAGGAGAAGGAAAAGGACTACATCCACTGGCTTCGGGATCCCATCACAACAGCATGGATCCGACAGGTCTTCAAAGAGCAGATCACCGTTTCTGGAGTCTGTGCGCATCTACAACCATGGACGAAGCCGGTGCCGACACCACATCTTAAGGCTGAGGAAGCCTTTCTCCGCCTGATGATTCGAGGCAACATTGAAGCCTGGAGATTGCTGCCGCTGGAGGATCTTCGTGAGCTATCACATCATCAATGTCATGAGCCAGTCGACTTTGATGAAGACTGACTTGTTTGCGTGTTTGGGAAATATCCTTCAGCAAGCTCATCAAAGAATCCTGCACCGGTTCTGCCTGGCACACCAGCGCCAAAGACGCCTATGCCTGGTACACCAGCACCAAGGACACCTGTTCCTGGCACACCAGCACCGAGCACACCAGCACCTCAGAGAGTTGAAGTGAAGGAAGAGCCAGCAGAAGAGTTCCAGCCGATAGATGAGGCCATGCCAGTTCCATATGAAGATGAAGAAGTACAAGTGATCGAAGCAGATGAAGGTGAAGCAAGCACCACCATCAAGCCTCTCTATGACTTCCGCCGCATCTTCAAGAAACTGCCCTCATTGACCACAACAGATGAAGCAAAGGCGAAGCGCCTTCTGTTGGGACTCCATGAAAGAATGTGGCATTGTCCCGTGATGGACTTCAAGAACGTTTTAGCTCGCTGTGGCATGCCTCCTGAAGTTCTGCAATTGGCAAAGACAGTGGTTTCAGCATGCGCTGTTTGCAGGCGCTTCACTCGAGCCACAAGACGTCCTCAGGTCAAGAGTGGCCTTGCGAAAGACTTCAATGAGGTGCTCCAAGTCGATTTCTTCCAGTGGCGCTCTGACTTGTTCATCTGCATTGTGGACGAAGCCACTCGCTACAAGGTCGCTGGACGACTGAAGTCGCGTGAGCTGAGCAGTTTTCTGGAATCGATGATGCAGCTGTGGTTCCGCTATTTTGGACCATCCAAGAGAATTGTTTGTGATCAAGAAGGTGCTCTCATGTCGCAAGAGGCTGCTCCTGAATTTGATCGCCTTGGCATCGAACGTGTTCCCATGGGCACAACAAGTGGAGCAGTTGGAAAGAAGCACACTGGAACAGGCATGGTGGAGAGACACATTGGCCTCCTGAAGATGACCATGGCCAAGTGTGCGACAGAAGCTGCAAGGCTCTCCATCACACCTGAACCTGATGAGTTGGCGGCTGAGGCATCGATGGCACACAACCTCACATTGAACATCGGAGGATACAGTCCTTCCATGATGGTTTTCGGCATCCTTCCTCGTGGTTACCTAGATGTTGAAGAAGTACCACTATCAGTGGCAAGCGCAGACATGGATCAGTCTCCTTTTGAACGTGCAGCACGATTCAGACAGATCGCACTTCAAGCTGCTCAAGCATCCATCCTAGAAGACAGGATCGTGCGCGCCGGCCGAACTCGGCCTGAGAAGCTGGACCTGTCAAATCTCATCGCAGGTTCCACCCAAGTTGAGATCTACAGAGATGATGGCAACTATGGATGGAGAGGTCCAGCACTTCTTTTGAAGATCAACGACTCCGATGGCACGTGCATCGTGGAGTACCAGGGACGACCATATCTCATGAGTCTGCGCCACATCCGGGTCTATCGAGGAAGCTTCTTTTCTCACTGCCTGGCCGACAACATGGAGGAGATTTGTGAACAGGATCTGCTTTCGCTGCAGCAGATGGTTGAAGAGAGCGATCCCTACAAGCTGCACACCATTGGCTTCCTCCTCAAGAATGCCGCAAATGCCTCTCTAGAATGGGCCAAGGTTCCTGCTGAGATGACAGAAAAAGAGAATGAGTACTTGGCCAAAGCACGAAGAGTGGCGTCCTTCTTCAGCAAGAAAGAGCTGCACGGCATTCGCTATGGAAGAGCTGTTAAGCAGGTCTATGTTCCAAAGTTCTCAAGAGGCGTCCTGATTTCATGGCCAAAAGGATCCAAGCAGTACGTGATGATGGAGCACAACGGAGACAGTCATTTGGTGCTCAAGAAGATCATGCACACCGTGCTGGAGGATGTCTGTCTTCACCATTTACCATGAAGAATCGCCTCCAGCACAGATCACATCACGACGACCTCCTGAAGCAACACATCAGGATCCTATGGACACCCCAGAGTCCAAGAAACGAGACGGCGCTGAGACAAGAACTGTTGTCATGGCACCTGAGAAGAAGAAGGCACGCTATGAGTATGCAGAAGATGAAGGTCCCACAGAACAAGAGCTGCTCCTGAACTCTTTATGGTGGATGACGAAGCGACCACTCAAGGTCAACTACCCGAGTGACGAGATCTGGTTTGACAATCACTCCCTCATCATGCAGTACAACAGGACTCCACCAGAGAAGACATCCACACCGAGCTCATCACGTCCCATGCACTACATCTTCCACCTCCATGGAAAGACTGAAGAGACCCTCTACATGGACATGAGGACCACAGAGATCTTTCGAGTTGATGCCGACACTGACGTGATGACAGAAGAAAAGTTGGCGCCACATTGGGACGCCTTTGAGCTCTCGGACTTTGCAGAGCTGAAGCAGTTTGTGGATGAAGGAGCGTTCTTTAAGATGCACATCAGCCAGGTGACAGAGGACATGGTCATCGTTGACTGCACATGGGTCAGGAAGTTCAAGAGGAATCCTGACAAAACCACGAAAGCCAAGAGCCGCTTGTGCGCCAGAGGATTCTTGGACCCTCAGAAGGCATCAATGCCCACTCGCTCTACGACGGCTACAAGGTTGTCACAACGGATCCTGGTCAGTTTGGCTGCTGCCATGAACCTGGAGATTGAGTCGTTGGATGTCTCCGGGGCCTTTCTCAAAGGCCTGTCATTTGACCAGGTGCGGAAGAAGCTGCGTGAGCGAGGCGTCATCTCTCCTCGACGCCTGGTGGCCATCATTCCACCAGCCAATGTCTGGCGCCAATTGGCCAAGATGGACAAGAGCTTCGACATCCCAGAAGCTCAGATGGGCGAATACCTTTTGGGCTGCAACAAGCCGGTCTATGGACTCAACGATGCACCCCTGGCTTGGCAGTTGTGTTTGCATGAGTTTGTGGAGGAGCTCGGTGGCCAACAGTCCGTGTTCGATGAGAACATGTTCTTTTGGAAGACCGATGGCCTGGTGAGCACCATCCTCACCACCCACGTGGACGACATCGCAGTGGCCACGAATCTTGAGATGCTGGAAAGCTTCCACAAGAGATTCACCAAGAAGTTTGGCAAGGTGACACGTGAGAAGATGCCCTTCCAACACTGCGGTATGGTGTATGAGAAAGTTGCACAGGGCTATCGCATCCAGCAGTATGACTTCACAAGTTCCTTGAAGATGACTGAGGTTGAGAATGACAAGGACGAGGAGCGCTCTCTAACCAAGGAGGAGACCACCAAGTACCGCTCCATCTTGGGCGGCCTGTTGTGGCTCACGGCCACCCGCATCGATTTGATTGCTGACGTGTGCCGCCTGCAGACCTTTGTCACTCAAGCCAAGGTCAAACACCTGAAGATGGCAAATGCCATTGTGAAGCGCGCCCAAGACAAGAAGTACAAGGACTTGGGTATCATCTACCGGCATCTTCCTCAGAATGCCTCATGGAGACTGGCGTGTGTCCATGACGCCAGTTCGGCTTCGCAGGGACGCACCTATGCCAATGAAGGCATCATGGTTTTCCTGACTGTGGATCGCCTCAACCTGGACAATACCATCCACGAGATTGACGGCCTGCACCATGATCCGCAGATCTTTGGAGGACCTGCTCATTTGTTGTGGGCTCAGGGCAACAAAGCGAAACGCATCAGCTACTCGACCAGTCACGGAGAGACTTTAGCTGCGATCAATGGCCTGGAGTCTTCATCACTGGTCTCTTTGAGGTTGGGTGAATTGCTCATGCCCGACAACAAGCCTTCACTAGCCTCTCTGGCTGCGCTTCAGGAGAAAGGAGTGCCCTTCCTGCCGGTCGACGTCTATACCGACTGCAGAGACTTCTATGAGCTGACAACAGGAGTCAAAGCGATGCCCCAGGACAAGGGCCAGCGCATCTACATCATGGCACATCGCGAAGCCCGTCTTTGTGGACGCATCCGGTGGGTCATCATGATTCCCACGCAGTGCATGACGAGCGATGCATTGACCAAGGTGATGGTCTCCACATCGCTCAACGAACTCCTCACAACTGGGATCGTGCGATTCTTCAACGTGCCGAATCACCCCATTGAAGCTCGAAGGCTGCCAGTGCTGCAAGAAGTGGAGGAAGAGCATCTTCACCAAGGAGATGAACAATTGCTCAAGAACCTGGCTTCATCGCCGACGAGCCCTACTTCCAGTCTGCTGGTGGCACTATGTTTTTTCGCCATCCTCCAAGGTGGCGAGGCTGCGACGAAGGAGGAAGAAGAAGAAGGCGACAAGTCACTGTACTACATGATGGCAGTGATTGCTGTGGCTGCAGTGGCTCTATGGCACATGGCTGGAAAGCTGCTGCACCGGGTGCTCAAATCCTGCATCCGCTATGCCAAGGACAAGGAAAGCCAATGTGACCTGTTCACAACATCAGGTCTGGTTGCAGAGGTCAAGCGCCTGAGACAGCAGATCGAGGAGCTCGAGAGGGAGAAGTCAGGCCTGGCGGCCGAGAAGATGGCTTTGGAGAAGGACCTGACTTGGTCCCTGAATCAGACCAAGCTGGAGGAGACGGCCCACACTCGTCTCCGGCACCGACTTCGCCAGTATGAGGACATCACGTCCACCTCGGCAAGTTCCGCTGCGGCTGAGCGAGGCCTTGAGATGCACAGAGAGCTGTGCCCCTTGGGAAAGGAGATCTACTATGCTCCGACAGGGGAAGTTTGGCACGCCAAGAAGAGCTGCCATGTTTTGCAGGGTCGAGCGACCCATAAAATCCTGAGCCGAAGAGCATGCACCCATTGCTCCGGCTGACACCACTCCAACGCAAAGCAAGAGCGGAGTGAACTTTCATGCACAGGTTTTCACCCCGACATACGCAGGTCGACCTTTAGGCACAAAGTGAGTGCTACCGTGTGGAGGAACACGACAGGGTTTGAGGCGGTTTGAGACGGTTTGAGACGGTGAGATGTTGGTAGCTTAGACACTTGGAAACATATCGATTGAGTTGGCCGGGATTGTTTCGGTGATCATCCATTTTGCTGACATGTGAATCTATGTGAGAAGCACTGCAGTCACTGCAGCTTCCCTTATTAGATGTCTTGAAAACGAGGTTCTTGTAACAGGTTCTGCCTCGAGTATCCATTCTGATCAGGATTCTGCGTTGCTGAAGTGGCTCCTTCTCCTCACGATTTGGCTTTCTCTTTGCCCTTTCCCGACCCCTGCCGCCCCTGTGGTGTTCTCGGTTGCGCCCTCTTCAGATCTCACAGGCATTGAACCTCAAGCAGAAGGAGGAGAGCAGAGCTCAGCGCGCAGCAGCTCAAGCAAGCTGGGCGCAGCAGCGAAAACGTGGTGCTTTTGCGGTTGAATGAGTCTGGTCACTTAATTACCAGAGTAGTTATCTTCGGAGACATGTTAGTTGATCGAACACAACAGAGGAACGTTCTTACTTTGGAAATCAGGGGTTGACTGTAGTTTGAATGAATGACATGCAGCTAGGGAAAAAGAGAGAAAGACACCGTCACAAGCCGAGCCATCACATCAATCGCAACGAATGCCATGGGCATATGTGCAACAAGGGAACCGGACACGAACTCCATCACACACGGAAGGCCAAGTACCATACCAGCAACCAAGCAAGCAGATTCCTACCAGGAACCCAAGGTGCTGCATGCACAGCCCCATGTCAACCTGGACGCAGGTGTCAGGGGAGTTCAGCACCTTCAAGTGACCCAGCCAGCAACGCTGCACTGGATCGTCCCCGGAAGGGTCCTAAGGATAATTCGTTGGTAAATAAATGTAGATAGTTAGGCAACTCAGAAGGGGAATTGCAAGAAAACACAAACAAGAGAATCAAACAAGTGCTGCGAATCAGAGTCCACCGAGGAAATCCCAAGTGGCATGTCTCTAATTGACACTTTTCAGCCCAAGAAGACCACGGTCCTCGGAGTCCGCCCTCCTGTCCTCGACATGGGAAGATCCGACAGAGGAGATCCGACAGAGGGAAGATCTGGAAGAGCTTGAAGCGCGTAGGCGTCACCTGGAAGAAGCCGGGAACCTGAGACCGGATCATTCCCGACCGGCGAAGAACCGAGTCAAAAGCTCCGGTGTTGCGCGACGCTGAGGTGAACTGCTCCACATCTCAGGAGGCGCAGGAAGCTGCCAATGCAGTTTGGGGCCTCAGTGCCATTCAGTGTTCAGTGCTGTTCTGTGCTGCAGTTTTGGTAAGAGTTTGGTAACTTGAGGTTTTCTTATGTTTTCTTGATTATTGTTGAACCCTCTGTGGGGGTCCTCGGTGGCAGCTGTGTCTCTCGCACACCTTGACAACCAAGGGCGTTTTCAACTCTTTGCAGCAATTTCAGGTGACCAAGAACACGCTCGTTCACCCGAGTCCAACATCATTTTCCACCAGGGCCTCATCTTTTTGGGGGGAGTTGGAGGGATATTTTCTGCCAAGAGAGATCGGCGGGAGATCGGTTGAGAAAGCGGAGCTCAGCCGGAGCACTCTCAGGTGTCCCAACTCTCCCGGCAACGGGAGCTGATCCTGAAGCAGGTGGATGACCTGAGTCGCGAGGCCTGGAAGTGGGATCCGAGAACGGATCTGAAGGGAAGCTCAAAGGGGCTGTAGGTGGTTTAGTTTAGGTCAAAGTATTGTGTGATGGGGATCAAGGTAATTAAGGGAGTGTTGAGAGGCTCAGAGAGGCCTGGGATATGAAAACCACCGACTTGAAGCAGGCTTGTACATTGTAGTTCCCTGCTACACAGCCATGGTGCTTGAACCTGGAGCTTTCCAGAATGTTTGCATCTAAGAAACGAACAGCTCTGGTTTGAAAAGAGCTGCATCCTTCACACGCCGCTGACAGGAGAAAGAAGGGAGTCTCTTCAACTTGGAAAGCTCACATCGGGTTGACACAGGGTTCCAGTGACCGATAGGTGAAAGAAACACCTGACATGCTCTCGTCAAGTACCCTATAATACTATAGACTATAGAAGATTGGCGACATAGGTCTTCACTTCCGAATGGCCAGCCCCTCACCTCCCACTTTTTCGCAGGAACGTGCCCAGCATAGCCGCTTGGAGCACGCGTCTTCAGCCTTGCAGCGCGACCGCCGCCGGGCTGTTGAGCAGACCTTGCGACAGCTGAGAGGCGTTGCTGGACAGCGTGGTAACTGAATCTGCGAGATGATCCGGATGATGATCCAGTGCCAACATCAGTGTCCGGATGGGGAATGGTGCTGATTGCGGAATGTAGGATGTCTATTTTCCCGCAACAAGCTAGTGCCACGTTACTTCTGCTGCGGAATACGCTTGATGGGATTCGAGCGGATTCGCAATCGCGCCCAGTGTCACTCACCCACCAGGCCGTGGAACTGCTTGGACCAAGGAGGAACGCGCCAGCGCCACGGAAGAGGTGGGATCGGACGTTGACGTGATGGTCCCGTGAAGTAGGTGAACACTTCGTGTCATTGAACCTTTTCAGTGAAGGTGAACACGCACCAGTCTATACCTGGCTAATCAAGTGGTCTATAAGTGGTTTGCACTAAGCCTTCGCCTTTTGATGCGGCTTTGGCAAACCCTCCCTCGACCGTCCATGGCGGTCCGTCCTTGAGGCCCAAGAGCTGGTCGAAGCAGCGCGAGAGCGGCAGAGCCTTGGTGACATGGTTGGGGAGCGGGATGGGTGAAGTGCAACTCCATGTCACCCTGAGCAGCTGGAATTTAGATGAATTTAGGACGTTTACTCATATAGTCTTATAGTGGTTCTTGCAGCTTGATTGGTTTGTCCTGTAATGGGGATCAATTTATGGACACGGGAGGACTACCCTGAAATGGGCACTGATATGTAGATGGCCACATAGGTAGAGTATGATTGGTTGAAGGTTTTTTTTTCTCCGGGAGATGCGCTTTTGATTGATGTCTGGATTTATACCGAGTGCGCGGTGTTTTGCGCTGTGCGCTGTCGTTTTGGTGCTTTGGGAGTGGACGTGGAGGCCACACCTACGAAGGACGTGTGCGAGGAAGTGTTTCCTTTCTTTTGACATGCATGATCACCTGCGGCAGAACTAGCTCATCCAGGACTATAGGGAAGGTCTGACTGACCGAACCCGAACCTTGTCCGCCCCGCTTGCTGTGTGCCCCCGAGGATCGCCGAGCTGCAGGCGCTGGACGCGGAGACGGCGGAGGCGGCGATGGCCATGGCTTGGGCCAAGTCGGAGCTCCAGGCCGGGGTCCAGTCGGAGGTGTTTCCCAACCTGGGCCGGAAGGAAGGCTGGTGGGAGAGAGCAAAAGAGGGGGGTTGGTGGAAGGGAAGGCGTTTTTCTTTTTTCCGGTGAGTGAGAGGTTGATGACGACGTTTGTTGGCGCTGCTGAGGGAGTTTCTGATTTTGGAGCAGATGCACTTTGGGAAACTGGGAGTCAAGGAGTCATTGCAAGTGGGGGGGTAGGCGATGTTACCATACTACAGTTTGGCAGTCCCCAAATAGATAGATCCGGTGTTCAAGACATGTCTAAAGGGAATTGGAAGCTCTCTTTACTGTATGTGGAGTGGCACTCGGGAGTGACCTTCTAAGGGCCTCGAAAGGAGGCATCCCTACTGGCGCATGGTTTTGGATACGGGCGTAAAAGTTCATATCAAGGTTCTTGAAGACATTGGTGGGACAAGTTCCTTCCTTCCTTCCTTCCTTCCTTCCTTCCTTCCCAACTCAAACCAAAATGCGACATCTACGTGAACAGGTCGTTCGCTTCGTTTGCTTTCACACCCTCGTTCATTCCAACCCCTGTTGTCCAGTCCACCTGAAGGAGTTGGCGGAGCGGCAGAAGGTGGAGCCCAAAGAGGCCCGGACTTTGGCCGCCTGGGACGTTGGCTGGCACAAACTAGTCACCCTCCTTGGAGCTAGCATGGAAGTGGATGGCATGGCCTCTTGGAAGACCATTTTCCTCTACAAACAGGGGATTTTTCTACATCCATTTCCAGGGAGAGGAACTCCTGCATTCGAAGGTTTGCTTTCTTGGGAACAGCAGGGACACCTGAAAAAGTCCCTATGGATTCAGATTCAGATGATCTTGTCATCGTTGAGTCCTTTTTGTTTTGCAAGCATCTTTTTTCAGAGCTTGTCTTCTTCGGATGCGTTTCGCTGGAGTTGGTTCAACAAGTTCGAGAACCTCTTGTGCTCGTTCCACTGCAGTGTCATCCAGCAGCTTCGTTGTACCTCCGCGGTGAACGTCAGGTTCCGGTGCCAAGAGCGAGAAGTAACAGTCCAAAGGCGACAAGAGCGGCACCGGTCGTCCTGGTGGGTCAGAGATTCATGGAAGTGTTAGACAGTTTCTTCTGAAAAACCTTGGAAAATCCCAAAGGATGTTGGCTGTTAAAGGCCTTTTTCATCTCGCTTGGTTTTGGTGCATTATGGAGAGCTTGGGATTCTCAACGATTATTTTCGTCGATAAACTTGGAGTTCTACAGGGGGGGTCTCGAGCGAAAACACCAAGACCAAGACTCTTTTCAACATCGAATGGACTCCCAAGAGCAACAACGCGACGCAAGTTTGACAACACCCTCAGGCCCTTTCTGCTGCCCCTCCCTACCAACACTTTCTCTTTGTGCGACACCGTCACTTAGCTTGCTTGCTCTTGGGTATCGCTGGCCACAGAAAGCAATAACTAAGCTTCTCTCTGTCACCAGGTGGCAAAGACGAAGCCGGTTCGCCAGAGCCTTTGCTGCATGGAGTGGGACAGATGGTCGGTCCGCTCGCAATGTGCCCAACGCCCGACGCCCAGAAGCAGCGTAGCTGGACGTATACACACAACATCGAAACTGAAACATAGCTTTAATGTAGGCTCTTGATTAAAAGAAACCGGATTCATATGAGTCCATATACATGAGTGGAACATAACTCAAGGTGCAGAAGCTGGCTCTTCAATAGATTCCGGTGGCCTTCCGGTGGCTTGTAGTCCTGAAAGGCCTTTCCAAACGATGATGAGTAATTCCCTATAGGAGGAGGGGGTCCTGTTTTTGCTTTTTCACGTTGCTCCGACTTTGGGTGAAGACACTTCCAGCTGCAAGTTACGACCACGGTCTTCACTCTTGATCATCGTGCAACGGCAACGATGGAACTCCATGGTTGGCCCATGATTGAAGCATTTCTTTGCACTGGCCGCTGGCCACAAAGAGCCGAGTAAAACATTTCGTGTTCGGTTTTTCTTTCACACCCTGTAACCGCTTTGGTCATCTTTTCTCTCCCAGTGTTTGTTTTTCTTGTCAGTATACTCTTTGAATCATTTTGATCAGACATTTCGGGGCGCATCAGCCATGCCAAGGACTGCTGAGTGCAGTGAGGAGCCCCAAGCCGCTGCGGTTAGAGGCGACAAGCAAGGTACGGCGGTGAGTGGGCGGTGGTCAGTGGTTCATTTGGGTCAATACGCTTGTGTGTTCCGCACTTGTCTTGCACTTTGCTTAGGCCGTTTGGAGGTCCAGTAGCCTCTGTGTGTTCCCCAACACAAATTCATGGACGCCCAGATTGGTGCGTTTTCACGCTCGAGCTGTGGGATTCTTCGGGAACTTATACTGAAGACATTCACTTTGGTGATCCAAATCCATCACTTCTCCCGTGGCAGCCACTTTCCTCCCTTTCTTTTTGGGGCGCTGAGCGTGTCTTCCTGCAGGTTTCGCGCGTGTTTTCAGTGCTGTCCCTTTCGCGGGCAGGTCGAGCTGCACGCTCGGAGGCTCGGTCCGGGGTCTTCATCGGGTCTGCTGGATTGGCCGGCCATTCCAAAGGTGGGCCTTCTGAGTGGCTCAGGATGAAGAATGGCACTGGTTTGATCAGGGATACATTCATATTGGCCCTTTGAATGTGGAGTTCCGCCGCAATTCAGATCTTGGAGCCGATTCAGCCATGTTCACCGAACACGGCACAGCCGCCCAAAACGGATCAAAGCCAAACCAACCGCTCTCAGCCATAGTTGTAGCTCACGAGGCCATAGCACCGGGCTTTCGTTGTGGGCCTGGAGGCACCGACCTACCAGGTGCCCAGGGGAGGCATGAGTTCCCAGTGCTTCACATCCTCGAAAGCAGGTCGAAGGCGGATGTCCGAAGAGCGGATCAATAGGAGATGAACCGCAATGGCTTGAAAGGAGGTCCTAGAAAATGTTTGGCAAAAGGAGCACAGATAAGATAGTTAGTTGGTATGGTGGTAGGTCGAACCCCAAGAGAACTGTTGTTGATCCCATTGCACGTTCAAACAAGAACCGAGACAGGACAAGCTTCTCAGCAGCACAACGCCTAACACCTCTCTCCTGGCACCGAGTGCCATGCGCTGGCTCTTCTTGGCCCTCGCCAGCCACGCCGACCTCGTTGCTCACGTAGCTGGCGATGGCTTCGCGGCTTCCAGGATGCACGTGGTGCCGCGGAGGGTGCCGCATGGCGCATGGGAGGAGATCATGGAAGTGCTTTGGGAGGATGGAGCCTCTTGGCTTATGGAACTTATGGAAGTCACCTTCTAGAAGGAGCTTGGAACATATCAAGGAGCACAGACTTTGAACCGAACACGGTCCCGGTGGATCTCTCTCAACATTGAAGCTAGGTGTGATTCGCATCAGCCACCCATCAAGGAAGGACGAACACTTAGATATTCCCACACCTCCACATGCATCCAGACACACACACACACACACTCCCTCTTTTGGCTTCGACCCTGGTACCGAATCAATCTGCCAACGGGGGACCCACCCAAGAAGAAATGGTTAATGGTTGGAAACGTGAGCCAGATGAATGCTTCGGCCACCATCCATCATTGCAAGAGCAGCCCAAAGGCCGCCGGTTAGACAGCAGTGATGAACGGCCGCGGTTTCCGACTGGTTCCGAGAAGCGTTGTTTCGACTCTGGCTTCGGCATCCGCACAACCCACCACAGCTGGCTTCGGCCTTCCGACGACCCGATCCAGCGAGGCAGTGGTCGTCCTAAGCGTGGCGTCTTCCGGCGAAAGCTTTCGTCTCTCGGCGAATGGGGAAGTGGGGAAGCCAACGACGATCCGCCATGGCATCGAGAGTGGAGAACAGATGACAGGAAGCTTTAAAGTATTTGGTCGGGTGAACCTGTGCAAGTGGATGAACGTGATACAGCACCCCTACACAGCTGCAACTCTTGCCTGGCTCATTGCCACTCATGACATTTATGCACGTCTATTACTTTATATCCATTTCGCCAAACCCAGTGGGTGGCTGGTGGGAGCATCCTGTCCCACCATGTTCCACCTTCAAACCCGAACGATCCACGATTTCCGTCACATGTTGACAAATCTCCGTCATACAAAATGCAATCCGTTTTCCTTTTTTTTTGAGGACATATTTTTGGTTGATTCTTTGTACTCATACTCGTAGTGTAACTTCCCACCTCGCAGCAAAAACCCTTCTCTGCGTCTCAGGGGACGCCGCCCGCGGCTTGGCGCAGCGGCTCTTCGCCGCGCCGCGCCCGGCGCTGCGTTCGCCGGAGGCGCCGGTCTCGGCGGTGCACGAGGAGTTGGAGGAGGCGGAGCGCCGGGGGAGGCTGGGCCAGAAGCAGGTGGAAGGGTGGGATGGGAAGAGAGTTGGGTACGGAATGGTAGGGAGCAGAGTTGGGGGGGAAGGGGTATGGTTTTGGTGATTGCAACATTGCTTGGTGAGTGCTAGCTGCTAGGGGCCCCTAGGGGACCTCAATCTCGAGAAGTGAGGTTGGATTGTCGGAGAAGATCCACGGTCGTACGGTTAGGATATTTTTAGACTGTGACACTGTGGGAGGATTCCTGAGACACTGGAGAATATGTCTTCTTCGTTGGTCAGAGCATAAGTTTAGACTTAATTCAATGCGTGGTTGTTCCAAGAGATTCCAAGGCTCCCTTAGAGCAAAGCCAAGACTTCTCCCAACTGGCCCCCAATGGAAAGTTTCACATTTTCATGATGTTATAGATTGATTGATGTTTATTCTCAAGGTCCTCATTCAAAGAGGATTCGATGTCAAACATGTCATGCCTTGTACTCAACCTCTTGCCTTCATCTCATGACATTCGGATCCCTCCAAGGAAGTATCTGCCCGGCAGCGACTTGGCGAGGGTGTGGTGGATCTGACATCAAGTTCCCCCTCAGTGTACCATCCACTGGCCCTCCACCAATTGACATGAACCTGCACAAGGTTTGGGAGACGTCATTGTGCTAGGAGATGGTCGCTATGTGACTTAATGTGGGGGTAAGAGCAGTCCGTACAGGAACCGTATTGTTGATGGAAGAAGTACCCTCATACCACCTGGCATACGGTATACACAACAGGTCTGCCTGGGGATAACTCCTAAGTCAGGTGGTAATTGCAATTTTTTCCCTCCAGTAGCAGCTTGATTCCAACAACCTTGTTCTCCTGCGTTGGTCCCCCTTCGTTCGGCGGGATCGGCTTGACTTGAGTCGAAGACAAGCTTACATATACGTTTGGACACCATGACAAATGGATCCCGAGGAATCCATCCACATTCGCAGGGATCATGATCCACTCGCAGTGGCCAGCTCAAACAGACATGCTCAACCTCCTGGCGTCCTATCATTCTTCATTCACCCCGAACCACCTCAGCTCCCAAGGCGGTTTGTTGCCTCACACGGACGGCTACGTCTACGGCGACGCCTTTCCGGACTTCGTCCTCCTCCTCTGCGAGGAGCCGGTCGACGGGCGCGGCGCCAACGGGGGCGGAAACACGTTGCTGGACGGCCGCGCGCTGATCGCACAACTGGCGCCTGTGGCTTCAAAAAGGGGTTGGTGGTGATGGGTTAGATGAGAGTTTTGGAGGTCGAACTATGGCATTGGATGGTTGTTGGTCGCGCACAATCACATGGCCAGTGCTATGCTTGAGGTTAGATTCCCCCTGAGGTTACATTCCCATCCTGTTTGAGGGTCGTGGCATTTGGATGGAAGCTGTGACAAGTTGGGCTGGCTCGGAGGGTGGGTAAACAATGGCCCTGAGCTCGGCAAGTCCTCCCGCTCTTCAAGCTTCGATTCTTGGAGCTCAGAGCTGAAGAGCCACCCCATCTTAGCACGGGCACCTCATGTCTTCCTGCCAAACTTCTTTTGTTTCACCTCTGCTTCTCCACATCATCTTGACCTCTTTTTGGCCTCCACCTCTACCTCCACTGTCTCCGCTGAGGCGGCGGAGTCCCCGGAGCTGCTGCGCTTCGCGCAGGGCACCGCCGTGGACCTCTCTGAGGGCGCGGAGGGCATCGCCGCCGGGCGGCCGGCGGAGGGCCCGGTGACTGGGGCAGCAGAGGGTGTTCAACGGCGGGGTGTTCTGCGGGCTGGACATGCCGGGGGCTGCTTTGGCTGAAGCTACATTGTGCTACACTAGAGGTTGTTAGAAGTGAGTTCTAGTTGGGGGGCAGTGATGAAACTGGGTAGTGCATTTATGGTTTGAGATATGTAGTGAGAACTTGTTGCTTCTTCGTGTGAATACCTAGACCTATAGTATTACCTGGGGGATGAAGCCCATCACATGAGTCGCAAAGCACATATTCAGTATCCCACGTTCTGTTCGGCGCTTTTTTTCCGGACATGGAGCCCTGGTCAAAGGTCATTCAGTGGCACAACGAGCGGTTGAAGTGGAGGCGGCAGATCAATGTGGAGGAAGCCAAGCTTACGAAGAGTTGCATGGCACATGTCCTCAGCAAGGAAAGGGATAGGGGCCGCAGGAAACCTTTGCCTTTTTCCATGAGATTTAAACACGGGGGTTCTTGTTATGTTCCTCCAAAGGTTTTGTCACTTGCTTGTTTGCCATGCCGGGGCTTTCGAGATACCGTTGGGAGTTGCTTAGTGCATCATGTAGCACATGTTGGGCTTTGCTTATCTCCAACTCCTGAGGTTGGCATCCTTTGGATCGCCCTTTTGAGCCGAGCGCAAGCACGGGCCGGAGATATCTGTCACTTTGGACGCTGGGCCATCGGTTTTGGACATGCAGTGGTGGTCGCAGTGGTTCGTTGGAACGGTGTGAGCGGACCTGGGTGACGATATCCTGACAGCCACGGTTTGGGCAAGTTCTCTACCTTTGTATACTCAAGATGCACTGGCAAGGGATCCTTTAACTGGCCTTTGGGGGACCACGAATGGTAGATGTGGACCACGTGTGCCCCTTCAGTGTCTGTTCTCCTCAGGAAGCCGTTGCCAAATGCCTCGGTGGTCGAAGCTGAAGAGATTCGCGAGAAGTTGAAGCTCTTGGATCTCCAGTTGTGCTTTGGCCCAAACATGCCGGAACCTAACACCAGCCATTTACAGGTTTTGCAGCTTAATGCATCGCAATTTGTCTTGCAAGAATGTGTGCGGGATTACAATATATTTACTGTTTCTGTACTAAAACGTCTTATGGAAGTTCCAGGAAGCTTGATCACCACATACAGTCATGCAAGTGATCTTGCAACTCGCTCACATAGAATCCAAATTGCAGAGATCCCAAGCTCCAGCCGTGCCACCGAGCCCCCGAGCCCGGGGTGAGGCAGAAGGCCACCGAGCTGGCCGAGGAGCAGGCGTTGTTCCACCTGGCGGCCGGAGAGGCGCTGATCGTGGACAACTGGCGCCTGCTGCACTCGCGGCAGCCCTACCAGGGCCGCCGGAAGATGTGGCGTTGCTTGGATGGAGTTGGATGGGGCGGATGGAAAAAGAGGAGGAATGTTTTGTTGGCTTGCCGGATTTGAGCTTGGCGGCAACATCTGGCCGCAGGTTTGCTCCCTGTGCGCTTCCCAGCATCCATTTGGTCACTTCAAACGCCACAACTCCCACTTAGACAGCCCATAACTGCAGACTTTTGCTAAGTTTGGAATGACAGGGCATGACTGCCCTCACCATAGGCACCTTAGGATCCAGCCACCCTCATTCCCTGCTTTCGTCGCACCAGTCAGACGAACTGACTGCCACTCCACACCAGGCATCACCAGGCGTCACCAGGCCACCAGACCCCGCACGAGGCTTATGGTCCTGGACCTCCGCCGGCAGCGGCGCACCAGCCGACGGAGCACGGACCTCGCAGCCTCTGGAGAGCCAAGTCTTCGCAGAGCTTTGAGCTTCCTCTCTTGCCTCGACGTCCTGTAGAGGATTGGTCCTTAACTTTGGAACCTTAGCACATATAGTGAACTCGACTCCCAAACAGGTAGTACCAAAAGGATCCACAGGAAAGCCAAGCTAGCCAAGCTGTTCACTTTGTCATCGCTCCAAGACCCGGGAAGCGAAGCGACTGAGGATCCTGCGGGCCCCGACCGAGAACGTCTGACCACCGGGGTGAGAGGTCGTGGCTGACCGCGCAGGACCAGCTTTCGATCTTAGTTCGGCTGCATGTGGCGAACCTGGATCCCTGGAGAAAAGGAGCGAAACGTGATGCGCGAAACGTGATGCAGGGTTTGCTGTTGTTTCTTATTCTTTTTTTTCTGTCGGTGAGGCTTTGAGAATCTCGGTGCTTTGCGAAAGTAACAGAGGGAGTGCACCTCAGCAGGGAAGAGAGCCCTTGTGGAATGGGCTTTGGGTGAAACGTCCAAGACACCAGCAAGTGAAGGACCTGGTACCCCTGAAGCTTCTGACAAAGTGACTCCTCTCCTTTGGCTCTTCATCCAGACAAAAACTTGATTGAGGTGCAAGTGACCCTCAGGATGAAGAGCCAAAGGACAAGTGATTGACAAGTGATTCCCTGGGACCCACGGAGGCGGACGCCGCCACCGACGCCGCTGCGGCCGCGGCCGCGGCGGAGGCCGCGCTGCGGCGCCACGGTGAAGCGGTGCGGGGCGTGGAGGCGCAGAGTGCGGAGGAGGAGGCTTTGCTGCGGATGGAGCTTCAGGAAGCCCAGGAGAATGGGGAGATGGTGAGATGGTGAGAAGTTGGGAGGATGTTGGATGGTGGTTGGATGGTGGGCTAGAAGGAATTGGTGGTGATGAGGCACGATTTGGTGAGAGATTGATTGTTTCTGATTCAAGGTCTTGTTGCAAATCTGACTGATGGATGTCTTTGTGCGTGAGTTGGCATTCAATCTGGAAATCTGTGACACCACCAATGAACCTCGTACCATGGAACCTCAACTCTCAAATGAATCATTCGTCCACCTTCGAAAAAAGGCTCATCAGTTAAGCACCACTTTTTTCCGAATGTGTCCTGTCTGTGGTTTAGACCCGATGTGTCCCATGCGTCAGAGCCGAGGAGTCCTTACGCCGCTGCCAGCTGGAGCATCAGAGCCACACCCGTGCCGCACTGCAGAGATTCCGAGAGGATGAGCGAGAGGCGCGAAATGCGGTCAGGGCGAGTTGCGGATGGGAGTGGTTTGCAAACTACCAGGTTTGTTGAGAAATGTATCAAAACCAGGTAGAACTGATGAGACAGTTGAAGGTGAAGAAGACTGATTCAAGGTTTTTGTTCCCTGCGGTACCAGGCTCCGAGGAGTGGACTCCCAACACATCCAAAAAACACCTGGAATCCTCCAAAAGCCACGTTCTCCGTGGTGGGGTCACTGCTTTCCTTCACTCAAGTTGATCTTCAACCCGACTGTGCCATTTTGATCAATGCCGGAGCTGTGCCAAACACAGCAAAGCTTTCCAACCTTCGTACTTCATTCATTTGGTTTTTCCTTTTACACTGGGCCTGGAAAAGACTCCGTTCTGGCGCCCAGTGGCTCCTTACCACCTCAGAGGCAGAGGAGCTCCATGAGCGTTTGGAAGCAGAGGAGTCCGCGTACGTCTCTGCCTGGCTCCCTAGGATGGTCAAGATCCAAAGACGGCAAATTGTCTTCGGATGGACATGGCTCCAGACAATCTCCACTTCCGAACAAGGCATGCCATGCGCCAGGGTGGAACAGCAAACATGCAGAAAACACACACTCACACACCTTACAAGTCCAAAGACCCAGTAAAACCTGGTCTTCTATACCTCCTTGACAAGTGTTTCTGTCTACATGAACTCTAAACTCGGACAGCTCACCACGTTCCCCCAACGCTCGCGACCCGTCCGGGCCCTTCACTCGCCGTGGCTCGTCGACTCCGAGGCTCGGCTCAGCGTCCCGGTGCCCTCGGAGGCCCAGTCCGCCACCCGCAGTCGTCTGTCACCTCCAGTCTGTCCCCGGGCTTCACACCGATGAAAACGCCGTGGGCGCCCATGGCACACGTGCATCGAGCATGGAGAAAACCACGGCGAGCTTGGTGGCGTTGGTGGGTCCTGGCGGGTTCCGGGCTGTAGAAGTCGCGGTGCTTTTGGAAGCTGAAACACTCCAGGGGAGCAAAGAGAACCCTTCGCTGCCGGCCAATGCCCTAGTGCGAACGGCTTACCGTGACCGTTTCAACCCAACAGAAAAGTATTGGTTTTGGTTTCAGTAGTAGGCTTCTGTATCTGCTTCCAAGCACACTGAGAAAACTCTACGATAAACGGTGGAAAGCACTGGTCCCCCGAAGAGGAAGCACCGTCAGAAACACAGAGGGTCTTCAGGTTCCACCGGCCACTGTGTATAGTCCATTCAAAGTCGCCCATTCATCTGTGTATTTGGATGTACTTGATCTCTCCAAACTCACCCCCTTCCAGATGTTCCTCTCGTCGTGTTTTTCACCTTCCTCAGCGGTCTTTGGTTTCGAGCACCGCCCTCGCAGCCTTCCGTTCAAACTCGCACCCGACCTTCGAGGCCTCTCCCCGAAGGTGGGGCCCGTGCTTTCTCGGAAAGGGCAGGTGATGGTAAAAGATCACAGCCCCAACGATGCCGGACATGAAGTCACATGTTCCTTTATGTCTAAAATTATTAACTTTAACGCTTCGTTGAACTTCGTTGTCCTTTTTCTTTTCTTCACGAAGTTCTTATCATTCTTGTGTGTCACCTTCGAAATTCGCGCACTCTCATGTCTTTTCCTCCTCTATAGAACCCCAAACTGGATGCAGATGCCTTCGCTGCCTCGCTCTTTGCCTCGCCGACCCAGATAGCCGTCACCAGGTCGAACCCTTCGGAGCGGCGCGTTCCCAGCGCGAGCCGCGGTTCGACCCGCGAGCGCTTCCCGTCGCTGCGCGGCAGCGCCGGGCGTTCGGCCGGGCGGCCCAGTTGGAGGACGGGAAGCAGTTGGGAAGGCCGAGGGTGACTGACCACAGCAGTGGGATTGATGGGATTGGTGATTGATTGATTGATCGATTGGGTTTGCTCAATCCATTTTGGTAGGCCAAGTTGCTGATTCAGCCAAATCTCTTCTGCATTTTGCTTCGCGACTTTTCCAGATGTTGGGAAGCACTGGCCAGTCCTTCCACGACGGCTGAGGGGCCGATCTTGGAGCAGAAGGAAGTCCAGTCCTTCTACTCCCAGGCCGTTCGAAAAGGATTGAAGCATAGGGTGCTCCCCTAGCCGAGGAAGTGCCCTGTGACAATAGTCATTGGAGCTTGACCAGACTGATGCGGTTGAAACTGCTGGGAAGAGGATGGTGGTCACGCGAAGAAGCTGAGGGGTGTCCAAGTATCTTCTAGAATACAGAAGATCGAGTACAAGATCTTGGAAGTGAGGAAGACAAGACATGTTTGTGTCGGCGTCTTGGTGATAGGTTTGACGAGCAGTTATTTTGTCACTTAGGCATTGTAACACATCAGAAGTCCTTCGCATTTTTCAGAGGCTGCTCAATCAACAGTAACTCCAGTGTGTTTCTCCAAACAACTGTGGTACTGAGGTGTGAATTGACCTCCCCCAAAACAAAAGGTACACGACTTGCATGAGTAGCTCAGACGGTGGAGTGACTGCAGGTGAACGCGCTCCAAGGGGGTCTGCCGGTGCGCGCCTTGCGCCCCCGAAAGCAGACCTTTGAGGCCCTTTTCATTTTTTGTCCAGCGGCGCTGGTGGTGGAGTGGTTGAGTGGGGCACAGGTCGTCTTTGCAGGTCTCAAAGCAAATCACACCCCACCAAACTCAAAATGGAATGGGTTTTCGGAGTATGACACCTGAACGGTCTTTTTGGATCCAAGGTGTATACCATTGATGGCCTGAGTCGCACTGGCCTCCACCCTTCGGTGATCCAGACGTGTGCCGTTCGCTGGGCGTTCCAGGAGAAGATGCTGGTCCGGAGCTGAGATCGTTTGCGGTCGATCCGTGACCGGGCGGAACGACGTTTCGGGCGTTGAGTCGTCTGAGGGTTCGATGTGGGACGAGTGGCCGGGTGATATCCAGCGACATCATTGGTTTCACTGCTTCGAATCCAAGAATCTGCACAAAGTCACCATGTAGAAAATGAACGTTTCTTGATTGCCACACCTCTGAACCCAGAGTTTGTGGTCTGGAGAAACGCCTGGAATCCCTGTGATTGGGTCTTTGTAGGGGTAGTGAACCCAACAAAATCGCTGTATGGGCCAAATCCAGACTCTTCTTTCCTCGCCTGCATTTCCAGCAGAAGCGCTTCACCAGGTTCCAAGCAACCCAGATTCCAACTGGCAGCGCACACCCAAGTGAAAGACCTACACAGATGCCACGGTGTTGAGCAAAAAGCCTGAGGTCTTAAGCTCTGATCTACAGCGCTTGGAACTCTGGCGCCCTGGCCAGACCGACATGTCGGCTGCATGGGAAGGGGGGGTAGATGGGAGACCGCCGTGATGTTTATGAGTGAACTTCAGATAGATGACCCCCCAGGGTTTGAAGCATGGTGTCCCATTCTTCTACCCTGAAGCGACTTGGCTAGACACAATGTTCAATGCGTGGAAGGACGTTTCGGCGGCTTTTTCATGCTTCTTATTCTCTTCCTATAGTTGGGTGGGCTACTAAATACAACCCTTCACCCAGTCATTGTAGGACCAGAGCCCGCAAACCCGAAAACACACCTGAGGCACCATGTGCAGCGGAACAGTCATGGTTTCGTGGGGTGTAGCACCACCTGTTCGGTCTTCGGAAGATGGCCATGCCATCCACTTCCACCAGCGATCGATCTCCAGGGCTCGATCTGATACGGACGGACGGACGACCATGTTGAACGACCTCGCGCTGGTCACGTTGATGGGAGACGGGTACGGAGATGGAGACTGTGGCACCAAGGCCCAAAAGCGCCGTAGCCTCAGGAGGAAGACATTCTGCACATTGGCTAGTGTGCTGCCCTGTTGGAAGCTTGTATCGAGCATGATGGGTGCTGCAGCTGGTGATTGTCGCATGTGTCAGCCTTGCCTGCAAGCTGCCTGTTTTTTATTGGTCAGAATGAATATTGGGACTCGGATATGACAGAATAGATTCTGAACGCCCAGGGAAGCTGCCCCATGTCATTCTGAGGGCACATTAGGTGATTAAATGCCCATGCTCGATGATGCTTGATGATGAACCTCTGAAAGTCATTGCGTGTGGAGATTACTCTCCTGCAGATGGAGATGTAGAGATTGAAGAAGCCTCGTCCAATTCACAGGAGACACCTGGCTTTGAAGGCCAGGCCACTGGCAGAAGGCCAGGCCACTGGCAGATGTTTCCCGTGCCTCAGGCCTCCCGGCGCGTGGCCGATGCCTTTCTCCGGCAGGGCCCGCAGTGTGGTGAACAGTTAGGGGGGCTCACCTGGAGCTACTGGTTAGAAGAAACACATGAAGAAACAAATAGTAAGCATTCCAACCCACTAGCGGTGGCCTCCACCCTAGAAGCGATGGCCTCCAGCTTACTAGCGATGGCCTCCACCCTGGAGAGCTACCGGTTCTTCACATCGATTGACGCTCTCCCCATCCTTTCGTACCGGGGAATAGGCGAAGATGTAACATGTTCTTGTTTGCTGACCCTTCAATTTCTTCAATCCTTGTTTTCCACTTACAAAACATGTTTTAAAACTCTGCTCGTTGGCATGTCATTTCTCCATGCATGAGACGCCACCACATGTGATGTATCCTTGTGACTGCTTCCAGGTTGGAGTCGTTGTCCCACGTGTGGCACCCAGCTGGGCCTCACCTGTCCCCGCTGTGTCCTGTCGTGTGCTCAAAGGACCGACGAACTCCAGCGCTGCCTGGAGTGAGTGTTCGTTGGATTTCCACAATCGTAAAGGTGTGAATTACATGGAATTACCGGCTTATCATTGCTTCCCCGAAGCATCTGTTCCGTTCGAGGTCCCAAGTCTTTTGGAACGCATGAAGACAGAGACCACTCCTTTTCAGCATGAATCGGCATCAGGTGCACCTGCCTGGTGTGGAAGCGAAGCCCAAGGCCACGTCAATGGAAGAGTTCCAATCGACAACGGGGTCATGTCGTCCACTCAAAGTAGGAAGAGTTTGAGAAGGAACGACATGTTGAACATATTGGCGGTGTAGACAGCATCCGGAAATAGGCATGCTAAGAACACCTCTTGCTCACACCATTTTGGAATGAGAAAACACTTAGAAAAGACATGTCATGACATGTCTATACTTTCCACATGAAAAGCACTTAAAAACACCACGTGGGAATGTTCCCATTTGGCCAAGACCTTCCCCCCTGGTTGTCACAACGCGCGGCTCAGAGTGGAATGCGCTGGGACCGTCGGTTTGGAATCGGGACAGCGCCGCTCAGGCAGAGAAGTCGAGGCCGGCCGGCCCAGCTCGCCCAGCTCCAGAACCGTTTCCTGCAACCTTTTTCATGGGGGTCAGCTGCAATTGGATTTGTGCAGAGGGGGAGTTCAAAAGGGTTCTGGACTCATCATACCAGTGGTGTGGCTAGAAACGTACGGACTGCCTGAGGTGGATGACAAATAGAGCAATCCATGAGTAATTCTATCACCTGCTGGTGGGAAGGAGTCTTTCGTCCTTTGTTTCTCTGGTTCAATCCATTTTAGACTGACTGGTGCTTAGTAGGGAATAAGGGAATGAGCCGCCAATAGAGATTGTATTGGATCCATTCCCTCATTCCCTGCTAAGCACAGTCAGTAGAGGGTCATCTTATCGGAATGACCAAGTTTCGTAGCTCCTGGGAGAGCGCAGATGTCTGAACGATCACCGAGTGTGGTCGTTTGATCTACAGTTACGTTCAGAATCAACAAATGAATGTGACAACTGCCCCCTATTTGCGGTTCGGTCATATTCTATCTATGAGTCGATGCATCCAGGATATTATATACTCCAATATGGCATTAAAACTTCTGCTCTGAATCGCTCTGTTGGCTGCCGAGCACTGCCCAGGCTTGCAGTGGATCTCATCCCCCTGCATTCCTCACCTTGGCACCTCTTGGCTGCGGCCGGGGCGCTCGGACCCCATCTATTGTTTGTCCGCTTATAGCCCTTGGATACCGAGCCCTCTGAGTGCCGCAAGAGATCAGAACCCTTCAAAAGCCACAAAAACCAACTACAAGCGCCGTGAGATCGCGACCTTTCAGAGTCGGCTGAAGCAGCAGAGACAGCTGGTAGGACCTCCCGACCTCGACCCCCTCGCCTCGTCCGGTGGTGGTGCAGGACGCCGCGACCTTTGAATTGCTGCTCGCCGGAGCTCGGGAAGCTCAGTGAAGGAAGAGGCAATTAGATTAAATTCTACTTGAATTCTTGTTTCTAGTAGCTTCTTGCTACTAGCTAGTAAGGCCAGGAGCCCCTAGTAGCGTCTTTGCTCCTAGTAGCGATGCCCTTTGTTCCTAGTAGCTTCTTGCCCGTGGGAACAGCAGTGCTGAAGGTGAATTGACTGTTGAGTTGAGCTTCCAGGCACACCATTTTGCCTCGTTGAAAGCCCTCCTACCCAAACGACTTTGATTCAATTTTGGATCTGCCAATCATGCCATCAACCCAAGTTCAGAACTCTGTCTCCAGAACTGGCGTTTCTTCTTTACGTCCTTGACTTTCCCCACATCACTCAACCAAAATTCACTCCTCATCTCCAGTCAAAAGGTATCCCTTTTGGGATCAGCATGGGATCCCAGCTTCACCCAGTTTCCACCAGTCTCGGGACACCCCTCTGAGGTCCGCGCCTTGCTCCGCTTCCGCACCAAGCTGCCCGAGTTGGCCCTGCTCCACCGGCAGGCGCAGATCTGCGATATGCGTTGGTGAGTAGCAATCTGTGCGGAGGTCAGTCGTGTTTTACCCATTGCCCCCTCGTGCCCCCTTCATGTTTCATCCATTTCCCCCTCGTGCCCCCTTCATGTTTCATCCATTTCCCCCTCGTGCCCCCTTCACGTTTCATCCATTGCCCCATGGTGCACCCTTCATGTTTCATCCATTGCCCCCTCGTGCCCCCTTCACGTTTCATCCATTGCCCCATTGTGCCCCCTTCATGTTTCATCCATTGCCCCCTCGTGCC